CCAGATGTTTTGAAAGAGGCAAGTGCTCGGAGACAAACTTATAACAAACATCAGAAGGAGACAGTCATCATTTTTTGGTCATTTTACGAGAAGAGGGAAAATGGAACTTGTTGTAACCACTGCAAAGATCTGTGGAAAGAGAGACAGAGGAAGACAGCGTGAGAAGATTCTTGACGGCCTTCTGTCATGACAGCAAAGCATGCCACTCTGCACATGCATGTCAATCCTCACCTTCCTCAGGATATGATGAGAATGAGGCAGAGGGGAGTTATGAGGGGATCTGGCCGATACCCGATGCTCAGAGAAAAGGCAAGACAGACATATAATCAGAATGCTACTAACGCTATTGGTATTGGAACTCTGCGCTTGCTGCTAACGATGGGGACGGAGCGCTTAAGGGAATGCCTCGAGTGCTGTGATGCTGGTTCCTGAATCAGCTCAACTCAGACCCTGATCTTAGAGCCACTCCACTAAAAGCCGTAAGAACAATTTTGTTCCTCTAAATCAACCGCCGTAGCAATCAAACCTGAGTATGTAGAGGACTGAAATGTGAAATGATCTCTCTAACCACCAATGTTTCCTTTGAAGATGGAGTGCATCTGCCTGATAGACAAGGAACCAACAGTTTGCATACAAATAAGCAAAATCTGTAAAACTTATGTGAATGCCACAATCAAGATTTGGAACAAGATTAAAGTCTGGAAGTGGGCGAACAATCAGACCTTTCCTCCGGAGTTTACAGCCAGTGAAAAAAAAAAAAAAGACTACCATTGTCTGAAAGCTGCAGGAGTGACCCCCCCCCCCCCCCCCACGTAAACCCCCCGACTTAACAATCAAATCCTAGTATGCAGAGGACTGGATTGTGAAAGGATTTCACTACCCTTTGAGACACAAGAGATATTCCAGTTTACATGTATGTATTCTCACAGAGAAGTGGCTGGCCAAGTGGTCAGAATCTTGGGCTCTTATTCAGAAGAATATTGAGTGGAGCTAATGGGCACTGTTTTTCTGTCTGTGGCAAAAGTAATACCTACCTAACCTGCACGGCCAAGAGGTGCATGCGCTTAATTTTCCTGTACCTATGCTAATACTAAATGTGAATACACTTACTGTGTCCGCTTGTGGGTTCTGTATTTGGAAGGAATTTCCGGTGTCAAGAACTGAAAGTAATAATTATACAAGTTTTAACCATTTTCTTTCACAGATTCTAAGTTAAGAAGTATAATTACTTTACCTTGAGCATAACAGCATGAAAAAAAGTCCATTTAATTAACACTCTAAGTGGTTATGACAGACAAATCTGTTTTTTTTTTTCCCAACTCATTTGCAATCACGATTGGTATGGCCAGCTGTATGACTTGGACTTGCAATGCTTACTCAAGCTGTTTTCTCAGTTCGGTTGGAATCTTCAGCAGCTTGGGGTGCCTTAGTCCCGGATGCGATATCTGCGCCTTCCGCCTGACACAGCTGACCTCTGCCAGCATTTGTTGCTCAGTTTGCTGCCCGGTTAGTTTCATGGGACACTGGAGAAACACTGCTGTGGTCATCTTTTTGTGTGGTCACCTTTGTGTGTGGTCACCTTTTTGTGTGTAAATCTTTTTTGCGTGGTCATCTTTTTTTGCGTGATCACCTTTTTTGCGTGGTCACCTTTGTATGTGGGAATCTTTGTATGTGGAAATCTTTTTGTGTGGTCACCTTTGTGTGTGGGAATCTTTTTGTGTGGTCATTTTTTTTGTGTGGTCACCTTTGTGTGTGGAAATCTTTTTGTGATGTCATCTTTCTGTTTGGTCATCTTTCTGTTTGGTGACCTTTGTGTGATCATCTTTTTGTTTGGTCACCTTTGTGTGGTCGTCTTTCTCCCCCCCCCCCCCCCAGTAAACAGGTGGCACCATCCATCAGGCGGGTGTCATGATCCTGGTAAGGGTTGAGATCGGGTGACTGTGGGACTGCCAGCAAAGCATGAGATTGTCATGGTGTGCACACAAGCCACAGAGGCCATGTGAACTACCAAAGGTTAGGGAAATGAGCTCAGGTTGTGATCGTTCTCCAATGGATCCCGCCTCACTGCAGCAAACCAGGAAATGAGTTAGCAGAAAAACTTGCAAAAAAATGGAATAAAGGAGAAACAGCACACCCATTCATTGTCATTACCAGAAATAAGAATACTTATCAAGGAAAAATACAAGAAATTGTGGAGAGCACAAACCAACAGTAAACATCCACAAGACCTCATCAGCAGACTCAACAGAAAGCCACATACAACAATTTTTGTGTCTACAGGACACTGCAGGCTTAACTACCACATGCATAAAATAAAGACCATGCAGCATTCACATTGTGCCTGTCAAACAGGACCACAAACACTTGAGTACATTCTGCAGACCTGCCCGCTATACCTGCAACTTCGAAAATACATCTGGTCTCAAGAGCAAAGTGTGCAGAGCAAGCTATGGGGAAACATGAAAGACCTGCTGCTGACATGTGAGTTCATAGTGGCAACCCACCTGATGGACTGTTCTGAGCATCCGTAAACCGAACGCAAAGAGGAAGAAGAAGAATCAAACAGAATTAGATGGTGGCAAAAGAATTGGGTCTGTGTTTGTTAGTCCAAGCAACTTTTGCAGTGTCATGAGCTAGCCTGTTCCGTGGATGTCCGGTGGTCCCGTGACTATGAGAAGTTGCTGCAGTAACTAAGCTTTATGTGATGAGGTGCTTTGCATGGTCTCCACGATTACATTGTGGCAAGCAGAAAGTCCGTGCAACAAGGGACAGCACGAGATACTTGTGCCTAGTCGAATAAGCGAGGGGAAGCCTGAGCTAGCCTCGTGGTCAGTTGATCAACAGAAGTTGTGGAAGACGGTTACAGTTATTTGAAGATGTAGTCTTTATGTCACGAGAATGACTAGTATTTGAATATGTCGTGAGCGATAGAAGTGTAAATAATTGTGGAAGCTGTGGAATAAACATAAATGAATAAACTGACAGCATGTACAAAGGAGCTGATTGGCATTTGTGTTGTCAACCCTAGACGTTAAAGCCGGTGTAAACCAAAGTTCACTTCAAGTTAAATCAAAGACTCATCCCACTTTAGCATGGATCAGTAGTCCAGATTATTATGCCATAACACTGTGAGCATTAAAAGAGTTGTGGGCTATCTCTCAGACTTTGAGAAAGAAAACAGGAGCTTTTGAGCTGAAATGCTATAGAAAATTCTCAGAATACTATGGCTAGTAGAACATCTTATTTGATCTGAACATCAAGAAGACTGAAAGTAAACATCTTTGTGTCTCAGAAAGTGAAATATTTTGGTCGGATTAAAAAAAAAAAAAAAGCAGACGGCATGGTACCAGAAAGGAGGGGCAGGGGCAGACCAACAAGAAGATGGGCACAGGAAATAAGTGACTCCTTGAGTATGAAGTACACGAGGCGGGAGAGCTGGCGAGAGATCCGAGTTTCTTTCAGGCAGACCTGGAAGAGAGTGACGGCCTGCAAAGGACCTGCTACATGATGAAGATGATGATGATGATGATGATGATCACAATGAGAAGAGAAAGGAAAGATCAAGAAATGTGATAAAGCCTATTCAGCTATCAGGGAGTGAGAACATGTCAGGGCCACTAAGATGACCTTGTGTGTCGTGTCCTGACCCTGTCACCGATCTCTCTCTATCAAGGTGACCCAGAGCATCTATGTAATGCTGATCAGCCCTCAAGAGAATGTAGCCAAAATATTTCAGCTGTTCGTTTTATTCAGCAACTCTCTCTTCATTCCCAGTCTCTTCAGCGACTGTTCTTCTGCCTTTCTAACCCCCCAATGGAGCATAGGCCATCAACCAACTCACACAAAGTTGTTCTCTCTCTCTCTACGTCCTGCTCATCTCTTCACTGTCTAACTCCCTTCTCCGTGTAATTTTTGGTCTTCCGTTATTTGTAAGCCCCTATGGGTTCCACTGCAAAGACATTCTAGTTATAGTGTTCTCAGGTTTTCTCAACGTGTGTCCTATCCAAAGCCGGCATCTTATCTTCACCTCTCGGTCCACTGGAACTTGTTTAATTCTCTTCTAAAGCTCTACATTCGTGATTCTATTATTCCATTTAATTCCCTCTATTCTGAGCAGGCACCAGTTAATAAATGCCTGTAGTTTATTAGTAAATGCCTTAGTTGTTCTCCATGTTTCTGCTCCATACAACAGTGACTGATTTGACATTAAATTAAAAAAATTGCAAGTTTAGTGTTAGTTTTAATAGAGCCTCTGCATTTGATTTTATGTCTATGAAATACGATCGATTCTTCTGAACGTAAAAAAAGCTGTTTTCATTTAAAAACAAAATAAGGTGCTTTATTAGTATCCTAACCCAGATGATGTCACAGGGCAGTCTAATATTTTAGAGGGTGGTAAGACTGGGTTTCCCGGCTTTCTAATGCTTGTAACAACCTCCAAAACATCTAGAACTGGCCCCAGCCCCAACCCACATACGCCCCACGAAAAAGTGCAGCCTAGGTCCCACAACTGCATGCAGCCTATCTACCACCCCCTGAAATATTAGACTGTCCCGTGACCTGTGGATTCCCAAGTTTGGGGTAGAATATTAATAAAGCACCCAAAAATGACTTTAAAGTGAAGAGTTACATGCGCAACTTACTTACTGGACTGGACACGGATGAACTGCTTGACAGAGTTGACAGATTCTGCAGACTGCTGGCTCTAGCAGGCACCTCACCAAGGCGCACCCTGTAGATGCTGACCCTGGGGCTGCTGCGTCGTTCCTTAGCCAAAGGCAGCCCAGCGCTCTTTGGGGTGTGAAGCCTTGGAAGCTGTGTTTTTCTGTGGGACTTTGGTGATTGAGTCTTCCTGCAAGACTTTGGAGACTGACTCTTTCTAACACTAGCAGGTGTCTGCTGAGTGGCCTGATATGACTGCCTGGAGACTGCTGAAGCAAGGAAGTTTCCTGGAAGCGGTGGGGCCGGAGGAGGAGTCAGCACTATGGTTGAAGAAACTCCTAAAAGAGCCTGGCGTGAGCTGATGGCTTCAAGATCTGGAGATTTCGGCTGGGGAACCTTCTGAATACCAACAGTCCCATTTTGACAATCATCATTTTCTTTTTTGAGCTGTTACTACCCTCATGTACTTGAGAAAGAACTATGGCAGGAACAGCGGCCACCAGAGATTTGGGTGAACTGACTGTAGTGTGGTTCACAGAAAATGTATCTATTTTTGACTCTTTTCCAGTGACCGCACCGTCAGAAGACGCCTGCTTGCCAGGACTCATCAATATGTTACTGGGGTTCCCTTGAGATTCTTTTCCACTCAAAAGAAGAGACTGGTCATGGTTTGTTTTGTTGGATATCTTGGCTTGCTTTTTGGCTGCTAGTCTAGCCGAACACCTGGTCACATTTCCTTTCAGCTCTGTAAAGGAGAGGGAAAAACATTAAACTTCAAGTTTGGAGAAAAAAAAAAGGAATAGACCCAGTGTCCTTAAGGTAATTGATTAAGCATTGTTTCCCAAAGGTTTCTTGATTCAGCGCCTTTTTTTTCAATTAAAATGTGTCCACAGCACCCTAACCTAAATAAAAGTATGACTGTCCATATGTGAGAGATCGAGACAAATAAAAATTGTGTAGCTTCAAATATTTCATAGCGCCCCCCTGTGAAGAGGTTGTGGCTGTCTGGGGCGCCATGGTACATGTGTCGGCCAGCTATCCATCGTGTGTCGAGATAGGATTTAAAAAGCTGTTTAAAATTATCTAATTAGTCTCATTTTTAAACCCCCCGTAAATAAGGTAACAATAAGTAAAAGACCCTTCTTATGCCATTCGTGTAATACATATGTTGCTAGACCCACAATTTTATAGACTGATACGCACTTGGTTGATTATGTGGTCATCATCATGGCATGGCATGGCAGACCATCTGTGTCAGAATTGACTGAAACTACACAAAACAGAAGGCTGTAGATAAATATGACTTACAACACCACACGGCATGGACTATTAAAAAAAAAAAAAAGATTTACAATTAAAAAGGAATGTTGAAGTGCTAAAAATATAAACTGTTGTTATGTGCAAGTGAGTCATCAGCAACAAGTTGAAAAACATTTACTAGAAGCAGAGATGTGGTTTTGGGGAAGAATGCAAAAAATATTGTGGAACGATGCAAAAATAACTGAGGCAGTCGTCCTTGAGATAGATGAAAGTTGTAAACTGAGTAGAACAGTTAGACGGAGACAGTTTGTGTTTTTCAATTAGAAGGAGACTGTGTTTTTCAGACAATTAGACGGAGACAGTTTGTGTTTTTCAGACAAACAGAGACAGTGTGTTTTTCAGACATGTTATGAAAAGAACTAAAGAACTTCGTAACAATGGGTAAGACTGACGGGGAGAGAATAAAGGGAAAGCAAAGAGATTAACAGCTGGATGGTTCATCTCTATGGATGGGGGCGAGATAAGAACACTGACCTGACCTGTGATTCTGGTGAGCTTATGTTTATCAGCCTAGATCCTTCTCCATGTGGGTTCTGGGGCCTCATTGTGGAAGAAAACAAGAACAGACCCACTGCCTTCCTCCACCCTAAAAAAGGATGCAATATGAGTCAACTAACAGGGGGGCTTCCTTCGAAGACGGAGAGCATCTGCCCAAGCGGCAGAGAACCAACAGTCTGCTTACAAATAAGCAAGATTTGTAAAAACAGATGTGCACACGGACTCAGGGTCTCAAACAAGACAAAGTCTAGAGATGGATGAACAACTAGAACTTTCCATCAGAGTTTACAGCTGGTGATCATGAAGAAGAAGAAGAAGGCACAGCTCATGATGATGTTGGGCAGACTACTCACCCTGTGACAGCTGGAACGTTTTACACATGCCAGACTTGAGGGCATTCGTTTGCTGGACACACTCGCTGGCACTGACCAGGCAGTGTGGGTACTGCTCCCCATGTAACAGGCTCATCATTTTACTCTGCGGAAGGTCAGAGGAAACCATAAAAACAAACTGTAGATAGGAGTTTGTCAGCAACATTACATTTTCTATTCCTAAGAGCAAATGGTTACAGATAAAATTAGGTGGGGGGGGGGGGGGGGGGGGGGGGAGGCGCTGAGACCCCAATCTTCCACTTGATTTATGGCGAGAAGATTCTAGTAATGCACATCACTGCTTCGTTAGGACCCCTTATTACTAAAACTAGCTTCACAGAAAAAGATAAAATTACAAAAATAAATAACACACACACATTCCTGTGACCGAAAGACCCAATATTAACTGTACACTTTTGATGGAAGATTGGAGAGAAAAATAATACCAGAAGGCTTGGTACTACTAGGAAGGAAGGACAGGGGCCAACCTACATGAAGACGTGTTTTTTTTTTTGGGGGGGGGGGGGGGGGGGGTCAACTGCAACCAGGGTTGTATTTTAAACCACTTTCAAGGAGTTCAGTGTGTACTTTCTGCCATAAGGTCATACATCACCACAACAAGACCTGCCCACATTTGACTACAGGTTACTCTATAACCGTTTTGTGGTGTCCTAATATAAAAGTAATAAAGTAAAGATCCCTTTTCACGCCTTGAGGCGCATCAGGCATTTGGAAAGAGCACCCATATTTTTACAGGCCACTCGGCACTAGATGGGTAATGTGGTCAGCATTACACCAGCCGTCTTTACTTCCCCAGGACATACATCCTGGTATCCATTTTAGGTTGGGTCGACCTGTGACGCCCCACACCATAATAAAAATCCATGCATGCCAGCAGTGGGTTCCGATCTTGGTACGTTGCAATTACGAGTCAGACTCGCAACGCCTAAGCCACGGACGCCGCGGTGCCCCAACATAACTGTGCTATATTGCTGAACTTTGATTGGTACCTGTGTGATTCTCATCCTTGTGATGTTAATCTTATAGACTGCAACCATGGAGATGAGAACTTTTTTTTAAAATGTGATATTCAAATGGCTATATCACATGTATAAACAAAAATAACTTCTCAGAGTGCTCACTGCAAATTAAGACCACAAAAACAAGTACTGCACAAATAATCACAATAAAAATACAACCACAACAGTAAACTAATACCACTGAATCAGGAGATGAAGAAACGATGCTGGCATTTGACAGGATAGGTGTTGAGAAAGCCTGAGTGCAACGTAACTAGAAAGTGCCTACATTGGAAGCTCACATCGGCGACGGGCTCACCCACTGGTTTGCCGATAGATAACTTTGTTGCCGGTCAGGACAGTATTTAGGTCTGTCTCCTTTGGTCCTTTCAACACTGCAGGAGTTCTTTTCAGGACTCATGGTTGCGCGCAATGCTAAACCATTTTATATGGTACATAACCTATTCTCAATTATAATCTAAAGCTTCCCCTTCTAAGATACTGGTTCAACACTGATTTAAAAACAACAAAAATTATTTTTTTTGAGCAACCTACATACACTGGAACCCAGTGGCATAGAACTAAAGGCAGACCAACCCCAAAAAAAATGTGGAGAAGGGAACTAAAGATTAAAGTTAAAAAGATCGGAAGGACGCAGGGTAAGCTGCATGAAACTGCAAAGGACAGGACAAATTTTCGAGTTGCTTGAGGGTCTATGTTACACTGGGGAATAAAAGGTAAAAAAAAAAATAAGAGAAAGTAAAAGCATAAAGACAATCTCTATTGAGCCAAGTACCACATAAAGATTACAAAAAACATCTAATAAATTTTTTTTTAAAGAAAAGAAAAAACATACAACCTTGACATAGGAGAACACACCAGAACTTTCCATTTCCTCCTGTTTTCTCTTGCGAAGTACTCGAGCATACAGTTCCGGATTCTGATCTAAATACATACACAGCTCCTGGAGAATGACAGATAAGTAGAATTTTCTGTTTCATTCATCGAGAATTAGAATGAGGCATGCTTTATAATATATTCTATATTTTCTTGGAATGTGACTGACTGAGCCTTTTTGACCCCTTGTAATTCAGGTTGAGGATTTACTTAGTGTGTGTGTGTACATTTAAAAGCTGACCCAGTCTAAAATGGGTGCCAGGAAATGTTCTAGGAAGTAAAGGCCCCCAGTGTTATACAGTGCAAAGTTGATCAGAAGTACTCACCGGGAACCCAAGAAATCTTCTTCTTACCAGAAATTCCTCCTATCCTGACAAAAATTTGAGCAAGAAACATTGCCGGGGATCAAAAAATTGTTCTTCGCAACAGAAATGTGGCCACATCTAAGATCAAATTAAGCAGTTTGCACTCTATCCCATCTTCCATGGTGTGCCAACTGGCATTTAAACAATAGGAAACAAAATAGGAGTATATATATAGAGAGAGCAGTGGAACAGGAGTTAGTCAGCTTGCCTTTCTGTCCATCGTGGTCACCTGATCAAATCCTTTCTGAGGATTAAATTATCTTATAAAGCTGACCCAGCCTAAAATGGGTACATGGAAATGTCCGAGGAAGTAAAGATATGATATTTATCGCATCTTTCATTTAATGTCAACTGGTATATAAAGCATTGTTCATTAAATGTTAACTGATAAACAAAACATGGATTCAGCATCCCTTATAAACACATTTTAATGCATAAAAAGGGTATTTTAGTCTCACAGACGCACATTCTTTATATTGTGCTAGTGCTCTGGTGTCAATCAAACTGTACAAAAGGCACCAGAGGAAACAGACAGCAAGTGTGAAACTTTAGCCCATGCTGACAGTCATTGCAAACATGAACAATGAGAGCTGATTCAAATAGGCTCTTCAGTAGAACAATCTGTCTTGCAGTGGATTCCAAGTCACTGAGGCTTGGGGAGCAATGAAAGCGGAGACTGACAAAAAGCGGCAGTAACAGACCTTCAAACCCACCAAAAGGCGACTGGATACCCAAACAAATTAGATTTTTTTTTTACTTTGAGAGAGATTACCACACAAATAAGGATACACCATGTCCCTTCAAACCATTCAGTAAGTTAACCCGGTTAACAAATGCTCAATGAAGTTGGATGTATCAGATGAAAGTCGCAAATAACGCCTCTCTGCTGTTAACAGGCACAACTCACTTACATCCTTTGGATAAGCGAAAAGAAGAAGATATTTAGACTAAGGACAAGAGACAGCTAACTTCCCTAATATATGTTGAAGTTTTTCAATGTAGAAGACACGGAAAGTATTCCTGCAACTTGGCACCAGACAATGCTGAGCAGGTCCTCCAGCACAGCCAAATGTTTGCTGCAAACAGAGAAGCAACCTGGCTTGTCCAACTTTCACCAAGACAGTGCTGTCTGGTTCACTGGGAGATTTGAACTGCACAATAGTTTTTATCTTTTTCCTATTCTTTCTTTCTTTCTTTCTTCGTCTTCAGCGGCTGTAAACTCCGGCAGAAAGTTCTGACTGTCTGTCCACCTTTAGACTTAAGTCTTGTTCCAGTGAACCTCAGTGTTGTGTGCACATTCGTTTTACAGATCTGACTTAGCTGTATGCTGATTACTGGTTCCTTGCCTCTCAGGCAGATGCACTCTTGACGTTGAAGGAAGCCCCCAATTAGTTAACACTTACGACATGCTTGTTGGGAAGGCAGTGGGGTCTATTCTTGATTTCCCCATAATGGGGACTTGCAACCAATACAGGGATAGTTTTTATCAAATCTACTTGCCTCCTGGTATACTTTTCTGATAGAAGGATTAGAGAAGAACACAGTCTAGCTGTAAACCACAACACAGCATAATGATTGCCCTTTTTAAGGGAGAAAGCAGAAGAAGAAGAATTACAAGAATAAGATAAAGTTTCACAACAATCTTATCTGACCTAGTAGAATCTGAAGGATCTTAAAAACTGGTCCATTAAAATCCTCCTATACTTCTGCCGGAGTTTAGAACCGGTAAAAACAAAGAAGCAGCAGCAGGAGGAGAAGAAAAAGAAGAAGAAGAAGCAGAAGAAAAAGAAGAAGAAGAAGCAGAAGAAAAAGAAGAAGAAGAAAAAGAAGATAAAGAAAAAGAAGAATAATATGAAGTTTCCCAACTATCTTTATTGCTTTTTTGTTAAAAACACATTATCACTCACACCAAGAGCCTTGTCTGTCTCCGACCTTGTGTCTGCTTCAAACTGTTCATCAGAAACCAGCTTACAGTACGTCACCTCCATAGAATCTGCATCCTCAAAATCATCAAATATGTCCACACAGTCCAGTGGCAGACTTGCCATTGTCCTGTAGACAGAACCAGGCATTTATCCTTAGCATGAATGTAACTTTTGTCATTTTTTTCCCCCAAACATGCCAGTCTATTAAAAGTTACGCAAGGTTCTGTTCATTAGGTAAGATCTGGCAGGGGATTTTCAGCCAGAATGAAGGGAAAAATTGTGGCAGAACAAACAGAGCTTTTGTATCTACAACTTCAAGCATGAGGATGGAGGTGGAGGTAATCACTGCAGCTCTGAAGTAGACAGCAAAAAATAAAGTTACCAGAGGATTTGTCTGGTTCTCAGTCGACACTGAGGAAGGTTCAGAATGGACAAATAGGGCATGAGTGGATACCAAGCTTCAGGACGTCAACATTGCAGGAAACCATGTGGGTATACTGCCCAGGATATGTCAGAGTGGGAGGGAATCAAACAGCGGATTTTCTGGCTACAAAAGCAATAGCTAAGGGAACACTCGTACTGGACAAGCGAGACATTCTGAAGACCATACATAAATGAATATTTTTCTTCTTCTTTGCGTTCACTGGCTGTAAACTCCGGCTGAAAGGTCTGGTTGTTCGCCCACCGCCGGACATTAGTCTTGTTCCAGAGCATGAGGGTCGCATGCACATTAGTTTTACAGATCTGACCTACTTGTATTTGTGTGCAGATTGTTGGTTCCTTGCCTCTCAGACAGATGCACTCCAATTTTGAAGGAAGCCCCCAATTAGCACACTCTTACGACATGCTTGTTGGGGAGGCAGTGGGTCTATTCTAGCTTTCCCCACAAATGGGGCCTGGAAACCCACACAGGGATGAACGCATGTTGACGGAAGACATAAGATTAGATTATATAATGTGTAAGAATGTGGGAAAGAAGAATTAGGAATGAATCGGTCAAGGATGAGCGTACAAGAAGAAGAGAACAGCATGTGTATAATCAGTGTGCTACAGGAAGAGTTAACATCTACACCTTAAGAGGTTTGATGTGGGAGACGGCATCTATGGGTGTCATGGAATGAACAGCCACCATACACAGTGGACGAGTCGGGACTTGATATCCCTCGAGCTCAGCAGAATTTCAAACTTAGACCCGTCTGGAAAGGTATATAGTCCCTAATATTGATCTATACCTTTATCTGGTAAAATAGTCATTTCTGGACCCTCTTGTTGCTTTGATATATCTTCATTTTCAAACTTGCAACTGTAGATTGGGTAATTCTGGTGTTTTATTTAAAAATTCCTGGAAACCGGTTTACTCCTTGGTCATTAATACAAGGAACTTCTTTCCTAGTGACGCTATTTATTTATGTTTTTATTCTTCTACTTCTTTGTGTTCACCGGTAGTAAACTCTGGCGGAAAGTTCTAGTTGTTCGTCCACTTCTGAACTGCAGTCCTGTTTTAGAACCTGAGTGTTGCATGCGCATCCATTTGACAGATCAGACTCATCTGTGTGCAGACTGTTGGTTCTTTGCCTCTCAGGCAGGTGCACTCTGACTTTGAAGGAAGCTCCCAATTAGTCGACCCTTGCGACATGCTTTCGGGTAGGCAGTGGGTCTATTCTTGTCTTCCCTATAATAGTGCGCCCGGAACCCATACAGGGACGTTTTTATTCAAATATATTTAATATGATCATCATTTGTTACTATACTGACAGTGTACTACTGTATTTAGGAAAATCAGTATTAGAATTTGAAATGTACCCTGGAGAAGATTGACATTCTACACGGGTTTAACATCAAGGAGAACTGGCTCATAAACAGCGTCCTGACTCAAAAGTAAGTATTTTGGCCACATCAAATGTTATGGTGGCTTGGAAAAGATAAGTGTTGGAAGGTGCAATTTGGGGAAGGCGGGGCCGGGGTCGACCTCCATGAACATGGATACAGGACACTGAAGAAGCATTGAAATTAAAGCACATGGGGTTGGAGAGCAAGCTAGGAAAAGGGACACTTTCAGGCGTGCCGTGAACAGAGCGACGTTTTGTAAAGTGTAAAGGACCTGCTGATTGATGATGATATATGTGTGTGTTAATTAAACGCTTTAGTTTTTGGGAGGTGTAAATTAAGAAAATCTCCCCCTGAGTGAAGGCTCCGTCTTTTTGCCACTGGAGAAACTTTATATTTAAATATAAGGCTCCCTCTCCGAAATTCATGTTTTATGCTGCTTGGTCAGTTAAAAGAAATATGTTAGTTCATTTATCTCATATTAATTCATTGTGGGGAAAACAAACTTTTATGAACAAGATTTTGAAAAAAATAAGGATTTACAACAGGATGTCCTTTTGTTTGTGATCATAACATCCAAAGAATTTAAATTAACTGTTTCAAATAAAGACTAGCTGATACATAATTGAACAGAGAAGGCATGTGAATTCTTAGAATTTGATAGCAGTGTTGCTGAACAAGTAAAAAAAGTAAGGTAAGCAAACCATTTTTTTATGCAGATAATTTTCTCATATGGACATATGGACATCTTTGAATCATTGAATGTTGTGCGATTTTAATATTTAATAACATTTTGTTGTAATACTGACAATTTAATAGTTTAGATTTATTCTGCACTCAGTTATCTTTAATTTGATATATGTCCCAATACATTCAATACTTTTTCTTCAGGAAGGTTTTAGTAATAATAATTAATTGTTTAACTGCAACACGACAAAGCTAAAACTTTTAGCTTTGTCGTGTTGCAGTAAACAGTTAATTATTATTATTAGTGATTAAAGATGATTTAGAGTGTACAGCAGATACAAAATATTTATATTAAGAACAATAACAATACTCACATGTAAATAAGTGGGTCTAACAGATGAATTATTTACTTCGGTACTGACGAAATCGTTAGTACAGTCGATGTTTTCAAAGATGCCGCGCTGGTAAAACCACTACATATGTCGTCATTTCCGGTTGTACCGAATTTAGTTTTTTAAGGGAGAGCTAATTTTCTATTTGTATATTAATAGTATATTAGTATAATAATCGAAAAGCTAACAGATGCATTTGAAATAAAAACAGGTGTGCGACAGGGATGTCTTTTGTCGCCTCTCTTATTTTTACTGGCTATAGACTTGACTATGAAAACAGTATCTGCTAACACCAAGAATAGAATTCAGTGGACCCCTACAAAACAGCTTGATGATCTGGACTTCGCTGATGATATTGCTCTTCTGACCCATTCACGGAATCAGATGCAAGATAAATTAAATATACTTGATGCGAGATCACAACAGCTTGGTCTGAAAATCCATAAAGGAAAGACAAAGAAAATCAGAATAAATCAGGCAAATGGTAGTGTGGTTTCTCTTAATGGCACCCAACTCAAAGACATGGAGTCGTAGGCCTACACCTATTTAGGCAGTAATGTAGATAAAGATGGAGAAACTGATAGAGATATTAAAATAAGAATACAAAAGGCAAGAGGGGCTTTCATAGCACTAGGAAATTTGTGGAGGTCAAAAGAAATTAAAAGAAATACTAAACTAAGAATTTTTAATTCTAATGTCAAATCAGAACTATTGTATAGGGCGGAAACATGGAGAACAAGCAAGGCAATTACTAATAAATTACAGACATTCATTAACTAGTGCCTGCGCAGAATAGAGGGAATTAAATGGTATGATAGAATAACTAATGTAGAACTTTGGGAGAGAACTAAACAGGCTCCAGTGGACCAAGAGGTGCGGAAAAGACGCTGGCGTTGGATAGGACACACACTGAGAAAACAGGAGAACAGCATAACTAGAATGTCTTTGCATTGAAACCCACAGGTCCATAGGAATAAAGGAAGGCAACAAAAAAAAAACACATGGAGACGAGAGCTGGAGAATGAAGTTATAAAGATGGGGAGGACATGGAGAGAGCTCCATGCAATGGCGAAGGATAGAACGACTTGGCGTGAGTTGGTTGAGGGCCTATGCTCCATTGGGGAATAGAAAGGCAGAAGAAGAAGAAGAAGTATATTAATCACCAGCAAGAAGATCAAAATTTGAATTTTGAAAGCATGCATCTTCCGTGTGGCTACATACGGATGTGAGTCGTGGACTATCTCTCAGTCCTTAAGAAAAAGAATAGGGGCTTTTGAGTTAAAATGTTATAGACAGATTCTCAGAATATCTTGGACAAAGAAGATGAGAAATATTGACATCTTAAAAGATCTGAACATCAAGAAAGATTGGCTAATGAACAGCATCCTTTCTCGAAAGCTGAAATATTATGGTCATATCAAGCGCCACGACGAATTGGAAAAAAAAAATTATAGCAGAAGGCATGGTACCAGGAAGGAGGGGCAGGGGCCGACCGACACGAGATGGGCACAGGATATAAGTGACTGCTTGAATGTGAAAGTGCATAAGGCGGGAGAACTGACGAGAGACCGAGTTTCTTTCAGGCAGACTGTGATGAGAGTGACGTGCTGCAAAGGACCTGCTACATGATGATGATGATGATAATAATAGTATCAAACCTTTTCTTCTTCTGTACGTCCTCTTTTACCGCTTTGGGTGTCGAGAGAGATATAAAGTCCTGCTTCGTGCTATTCTGGCTGCTTCAACCATAGACACATCGTGGTGCTGTGGAGTTTCTCTGATGTAATCTTTCCATTATGTTTTCGGTCTACCTCTCGCTCTACGTCCCTCTCCTCTTTTGGTATATACCTTGTATGGTATAGCATCAGCATGCATTCTCTCCAAGTAGGCCAACCATTTGATTTGCTGTCTTTGTATGTAATTTAGAATTGGTTCTGTGCCGACATTATCTCGTTTGACCTCATTCCTGATTTTATCTCTCATGGTCACTCCTACAGTCTTTCTCAGACACCTCCTTTCCATGGTTACTAATTTTCTGTTATGTTTTGTTGTGAGTGACTAGGTCTAGCACTGGTAGCATACGGTGGGAATGAATTTGCTTTGTATGAGATGCTAAACGACCTCTTCAAAGATCTTCTTATTCCTTCAGTTCAACCTTCTTCTTTTCTCCTCCTTCATCTTCTCCACTTTCTTCTTGTCTCCTCCTACTCATATTTCTTCT